TTTGTTGTGTGAGGTCAAGGTAACTTTGGGTGTGCTACAAATATAGTGTTGTGTGAGGTCAAGGTGACTTTTGGGTGTGCTACAAATATAGACGCACCGAAAAGACCATGATTTGAATTATGCAATTGAATGCTTCGTTCTCACTTATTGATTCTATATGGTTTCTATACGTGAAATTAATAATTTAATACTTCGTTTTCACTTATTGATTCTATATGGTGTTATATACGGTTTTGACGATCGCAACAAAGTATTTTAGAGAACATACAGCAGTTTGCCAACCAGTGATGGGCGTTAAGCGAAATGATATCGGAAGACTTCTAGTGTATCCTAATAAGTCATTTATTCTGGGATGGTATGTGGCATGATACTACTAAGCAATACTATGCACGACCTCCTTGTTCTATTCACGGAATAGGATTCTCTGATGGACATGTTTCACACTTGAGGAAGTAACGCCGTGTCTCGATCTGGAGCACCGATACTTATGGCTCACAACGTGTTTATGTCGCCGACTACTTAGTTTCTTCCAGGGGGGAATATGCTAGGGGAACAGAATGTATATCCAATTTCCAGATAGCGGTTACAGATGACTTCATCCCAGTCTGTGAAGCACGCATTGACATCATTGCGCAAGCATCCATTGCAGGATCCGCAAATGGTGGGCTGTTCGACACCCATGCCTTCATGCTCTTTCATCTCCTCCAGCTCAGCACTTTCATCCTCAACCATTTCATCAACCATTTCATCAACCATTTCATCAACCATTTCATCGACCATTTCATCGATCTCCTTGGCATCTTCCATCATGTGTCCTTGGCAGAAGACATAACTCTCATTTGTGAAGCGAGCGCATACATCCGTCGTCCATGTCGTGAAACATGCACTGACGTCCGTTCTCAAACAACCTCGGCATGTACCGCAGATTTCACCTCCAAGTACAGGCGTGTCTATAATTTCGCTGTTGCCATCATTGTTATTGTTACTGTTATTGTTAATGCCATTGTTATTGTCATTATTATTGTTATTATTATTATTGTTGTTGTTGCTGCTCCCGTCTTCGATCCGAACAGGCAAGGCATCGCTTGGTCGTGGTCGACCCACTCCAGCAGTGAAGGGGAAGGTACAGTCCACCTCACCAGTTGCGAAACATTGCACCACATTTGCGTACTCCTGGTATTCTCCGATAGCGTGCTGAGGGCAGAAGTCGTTGAGTCCCAGAGGAATCAAATCACGAGGACGTTCACTGAGCAGTCGCTCCCCTACATTAGGAATGTCTGTGTTTGCTGTTCTGCCATTGGCGGCTTCGATACGGATATCTGCACAGTTGAAAAACTCTTCAGAGACTGCGCTCGCTCGACGCTCAAGGTTGGTAGGAGGACATGAATTTGTGCTATACCAGTGAAAACGTAGAACACAGTTGCTACAAGATACCCCTTCGGGAAGCTGGTATCGTGCCTTCATAGTCACTGTTCCGGAGGATATGGTATCCCACTGATAGCCCCCATTCGCTGTCACAACATATGCCTTTGTTTCAGTGTTCGCAAGGGGTTTCCACCAGCGCTCGCAGTTTGGATCGTCCACACTTGCGCTAACATCACAATTCACACGACGCAATCGATTGCGATTGAAGCACTCTTCCGTGATGTCAGTGCTGGGGCACAGCTGGAAGTCATAGTATCCGCTGTGATGAGCGGTGACCACTAGAGTGATATCGATGTTTCCTCCTTCAGTGTATGTACCCTGAACTGGTCCGGGAGCATTGAAGCGTTGTTCTGCGGCGGTGTGAGAGGCACCACAGAGCCCGTGACGGTACTGGCCATCCCCATTAACAGTCGCAGGCCCTCCGGCCGCCAATGATTGTCGTTCACCGTTGTTGGGCACATTGCGCGCCTCGGGTACGGACATGTAGGTGTGACCGTGGACGACATTGCCATATAGATAGCACATAACTACCAATACAGTCCTGTGCATATTGGCATAAATTTATAAACAGAGCTCTTTATGCCGAGGTGCCTATATTGTCAATCAGCGGCTAAAGAATACCATACCAGTGTTCGATATATAAATACTATTCAAGGCAAACTGAAAAAAAGATATACACATAAATGAGGACACATAAATGAGGCTAATAAACATATTTTCAACCCGAAGGTGACAACCCCCCCCCATCAACCCCTCCCTTTCGTACATTCAATTTGCAAGGATGCAGGAGACCTTCTCGTATATCGCTGTAAAAACATTTGGCAGCTACAAGTTCGGCCCGATAGGTAATATGTACATTATTTTTAACATAAGTATAAAGCTTTCATAATATAGCTGCCGGGCAACATATGTAGAATGGCAAAGAAGTTGATTGAGTCGTCGTCCCAAGTGACCAAGCCCTGTATAAATCTGCATTTTGAGCTCTCATTTCTCAGTGATTTTTTTGTTGTCGACGAAAAAATTAGCAAAAATAAATATAATAAATAAATTTGTCGCGCTATTTTTACTATTAAAAAAGGTTAAGAGGTGAAGTTGAATTAAAAAAAACAACCCCCCATAATATTATGGAAGTTAAATATAGGTTATGTACACAACGGGTATGGTTACAGTTCACACTTCATATGGTTTATATTTACACAAGAAGAGGGTTTATACAGTTTACGGTTTGTATTTATAGCCATGGGGTTTTTCAGTTGCCGTGGTTTATTGATTTAGCCCCCTCTATATATAAAATTACAGTGGGAATGGCTTTTAAAAAAAACAACATAAATTGACCACTCAGATTGAGGATTGGCTAAGTCTCTCGCTCGAGAGTTTTGAGATTTCGAGTTTTCAGTACATTTTCAGCAAATACAAAATTTATGAGGAATTTGAGTGCTCCTTAAAAAAAACAACAGCAACACAAAACGTTCGATTTTTTCTAATTTTTTGTTTTTACAAAGGGGTACATCTGTACAAACTACATACCCTGCGGCCGGTATGTACATTGTATAATGTACATCCCTGCTGTGTAAATAAATAGTGATTGTCAATATGTATGTATTTTAAAAATAAAAACAAAGGGCTCTCTCTTTCTCTCTCTAAATACTAGCTCTGAAAATATCGAAATAAGTATTTATATAAAAATTATGATCCCTCTGTGTCTATTTACAGGTCTCTTGCCTTCTGTCAATTTTTCATTTTTCATTGTCGTCTTCCAAATGAATACTACTAAATTTGATTTTTTTTAAAGCAGAGGGAATTGATTTGTGTGTAAATATGTACGTGTTCACTGCTTGTTCAGTGCTGTACTGACTTCTGAGCAGCTATTTAGTCAGCCACTCTCTGCTGGTAGTATATGTACTATATAGTGATAAGTTTATCTAGACCTTTTAATTATGTATTCATTTTTAGCTGTTCTAACACCAAAATGTCCGCCTTTTAGTAAGGGGTACAAATGCGAACTATGGATACCAAAGTCCAAACCGAATAGCCCAAATTTCTACAATAAAAACCAAAATTGCTCAGCTGTTGATGAAGCTTACATATTCGACATACCCGAGATAGATATCGATAGTCTACTACGCTTGAGGAATAAATAAAATCGTTGATTTTGTTTCTACCGTTGTTATTGTTACATATATATATATATATATATATATATATATATATATGTCAAAACGACAACACAACTAACAGTCGCAAGAGATGGTTACTATGTGTCATTTTAATTCATCCTTCTACATAGAATCAATTCATACTTCCAGTTTTGTTTTCCTATAGTTACCGTGCGATATTGCATCGATGTGACCGTATGATTTATACTAGAACCAGCAAGTAAACCATCTGGCTTAGATATTGCTTATGACTAGTACTTTACTTTGTCTCCTACACAGGTCACGGACAACCTCATTTTAATTTACAATTTCATGTGGTCACAAATGTGATTTTGATCATACATGTTTCTGTGCACACATACGATTTGTCTAATCTGTCGTACCGGCTATTGCATTTGTGTCATGAACCATGGCTTGATAGCAGGTGGCCCAGCACGAGATTTAGACTACTGGGGCCGGCAATAACGGCATAGTCTCCTAAATTGAATACGAGCCTCGAGAATGTGTCAATAAAAAATACAAAAAATAGAAACCCGCCAAAAGCAAGTATGTGTAGAACAAGCAAGGAAGTTCAACTTGGGCCCAGTCGCCCGGAGCCCCAGACTCGGAGACTCCCAGTCTCAACAGTCAACACTCACAAGAGAAATGAGCTAGAGATGCCGGAAGTTGATAGTGTTTCTTTTTTCAAAAATAAATATTGAAGATCATGGCGATCTATATATCTATTTATTTATGGCCACACAAAACCGAAAGTTGTAAATATCTTGTATGCACTCTTTAAAGTAGCCTGCTTGTTTCAGGGATGACAGAGTTGAATGGGTGGGCTCATGACCCCCCGACCGTAGCTCTAATTGCTGAAACAAAATGAAGATAGATGATCCTCCTCAAAAGCAAATGAGCAACGAGTGATATGCCAGGGAAATACTGACATAGAAATATAATCACAAATGCAAACACAATCACAAACATCAGGGAAATACTGTCACATATGGAAATACAATCACATATGGAAATACAATCACATATGGAAATATATTCACATATGGAAAGATAGTCAAAAATATAGGGGAACATACCCTCCTCTCAGCTCCCTTGATAGGAATCGATCTAACGAGATGCCACATACACCACCTTCCTCACACGGTCAGCAACCAGCGCACCCTCATGCGCAGCCAATGAGACATACAACAACGATGCCCGTTGCGAACTTTGTCCCATCACAAAGTGTAATGTACGCTCCCTCGCAAGAAGACTATCAAAATATTGTAACAAACGATGGGGACAACAACGGCGGTATGCCTCCGGGAACACAGGTAGAGATGATCGTTATGCGCCCTACATATTATATGTATACATAAAATTCACACACACACACACATACACACACACACACACACACACACACACACACACACACATACACACACACANACACACACGTACGTACACAGACACACACATACTACACACACACACACACACACACACACACACTAACACACACACACACACACACACTACACACACACACACACACTACACAC